TTTTTTCTTATGTATTTAATTTTTTTTATATACTGTAAAATTATAAAAATTGGACTTATGGTTTAGCATAACTGTCTTCAAGAGATTATTTTAATTTACCATTTGCAAAAAGGCTGAAGGCTAGTAGTATTTTTTTTTGGTCAAATTGTCTTGAATAATTATAGTTTCTTTATTAAATTATCTTACATATGCCTTTCTGGATTCTATATGGAAATTTTAAAATATTTCATTTAATTGTAATGATTGTATGATTTATTTATTGTTTATTAATTATTTTAACTGTTCTTTGTACTTAACATATTACTTGTAAGTGTTATGATTTACCTGGCATACTGTTTATGATTTAAATAATAGTATTTATAGTAACATCAAGTAATTCCTTTGTATTAAAACTAACTTTCAAAATAATAAAAATCAATGTTTAAAAATATTTTGGTCTTATTACCATAACTTATTCATCATACCCATAACAGGTATCTGTAACTTTTTATAAAACATATAAAAAATCGTTGAAAGAAAAATACAGGGCAGGAGGATTAAATTAAATACTTTAGGAAATTTATTAAATAGATCATTTCCTTATATCCTAATATTTTTTGTTAAATCTAATTTGAGTAATTCGCTGTCTTTCACTTTGCTTAGACTAACATTTTTGTTTATAAAATACCTTCTAGCAGTGAGCTTATATTTGTATTCGTTAATGACTTAATTGTACCACTTAATATTATCATTTTGAATATTGAAATTTTGCTGATAGAACTTTGTTATTCTAGAAGACATTTTTATAGTTAGACAAGATTCTAAGTACTGATAGAAACTTTTCAAACTAATGGTCTTTCTATTTATTTATTTGTTTTTGTAGTTCTTTTAGGGTGTCAATAAAAAAGAAAAGTATATTTTATGTTCTGCTTCTTGATATCAGATACCTCAGTTTACTTCTTTTTTGTCTTGGGCTTAATTTTAATAATAATGTGACAACCAGATGTTTTGGTACTATAACACCTCACTATTTTCTGACTGTATTTAATACAATTCAGGATATTATGACTGATGTGTGGTTTTATGACTTACTGCTTGCAGGATCTGACCAAGCTTATTAAATGTTACATTAACATTCACAATTGAATTAACATTAACGTTGAATATCAGTATTGTCTTGTAGTAATAAGAAAATTTTGATATTACTGCAAAATCTTCGAAATCTTTATTTTGCATCTGTATGACGTTATAAGGATTTCATTGGTTCAATTGTTCTAGTAATCTTATTAATTCTAGAAGTGAATAAAAATAAATCTTTTATATTACTTTTTCTATGAAACTATGGATGTTATTAGCTTCCTGGAAGCAAGAATGCCCTACAATTGAATATTTCATTGTTATTGTGTGACATTACAAAAATAAAATGCACCACTATGACTCATGAAGGATCTTGGGTTCGGTACTATTTAGAGAAAGCACTGTTTCTTGGTCTACGGTTGTGCAAAGAGGTGATTTAACCAAGATCCCGCTCAACTGCCAGGTTTTTCTCCTTAATTAAGGGTACCCCTTTATAAAGGCTGGGTGTGCCCCACGAGGATCTACCTACCCAGGGTTGCCCCATGGCCAATGAAATAGAATAAATAATTTTTCCGCCATGAGCTGGGGTTCAAATCTGAGACCTTAAGCATTGGAAGCTTAGTACCCTACCACTGAGCTACCTCACTCCCATTACATTATAATAATCTCTTTAATGAATCAATATTGTATTTGATGTAATGTAATTTCAGTTCTGCGAAACACGAAGACAGTTATTAATTATCTAAAATTATTCTCTTCTATTAGTACACCTTGTATTATTCAATGAAGTGCACTCGCTATGTCATTTCCTGCATCCCCTGCCATCACCTCAGACAAATGGAAAAGATAAACTCTCTTTGTAACCGTATAATATATGCTCAGATTGTACCCATTTAATTTTCTTGAGTTGAAAAATGAACTAATATTAGTGTTAGGGAATAGAATTACATTTTCCAGATCAAAGAGCAATATAGAATTGTCATCCTCTTAGCTTTTTTCTCTCATGACGGCGCCGTCAAGAAATTCTTCTTTGAATTCTTCAGTCAAAGTAGAGCTCCTCTTAGCCACTTTACATTTATCACAAAGATCACACATATAACTTTTTGGTATATGAAACCCTAAATTAAATTCATTAAGAAACATTTTGTTTACTTAAACAATTGTTTCAAAAATATGTTTGAAAGACACTTGGGGTTGAAATTTCCTATTTTGATTATAAGGTGATTAGTAAATAAGTAAGTCAATTTTTTTTCTTACCTCCTATGCAGGTAGAGAAATTGAGTTAGGCGATCTTAGAACTTATTTGATGATATTTTATCTATATTCATGCCGGAGGTATTTTATCTTTGCTATAAATTGTTTTAGAAACCGGCTATCAATTCACCTCATAAAGCAGACAGAACTGGAGTTAGAATGAGATTTTGGTACATGATCAAGCGACATGTTTAACAGTTTTTCATTTATATGAAATATAAATTTATAAAAATTTATTATCTTATCAATAATAAATTTTTATGATCAACTAAGAAAAACTCTCATCTAATTTGGGGTTTTACATTTAATGAGTATTTATATTATACATACAATAATATATGTTGAATCCAAAAATGTAATAGAAAAATCCATTATTCACTGTTCACTGATGTTCATGTTGAAATATTTGTTTAATAATTACTTTATATCTTGAATCAGCCAATACAAAGAATATAAACTACTCTAAAATTTGAGGTTTTTCACTTCATGGAGATTCAAAAACACAATTTATATGAAAACATGTTTTGTACTCAGTTTTTTTTTTTATTAATTTATTTAATTATCTTATCCTATTTAAGTTAAATTAAATGAAGGTTATTTATTTCAGAAGCAGTAATTTACTTTTAAAGTGTTATCCATCTGGTTATAATTAATGAAAAAATAATAGAAGGAACAAAAATATGTTTTTTGCAGAAACAACACCAGAGTAAAAGTTTCAAAAAATGTTATGATCATCTAATCTAATGATATATGTATTGCTAAAACCTGACATATATAATGTAGAATATGATCGTAGAAACTAGAATAGAAACTAAACATATTTTTAATTACTTTTTATCTTCTAAAATTTTAATTTCATATAAATTTTTGCAATTTTTATAAAAATTATGGAAATATCACATATGTCATTTCTGAAATAACCGATTCAAATATATTTAGCACATAGGACAGATCGTTACTAATAATATTACAAGATACAATTTCATGTTCAATTCTCATTTAAATGAGGATATGCGATACTGAAACGACAAAAAACCGCTTGACAATTCCGATTACTTCAGCACTTACTAGACAAACGCTCTAAACTTCCAATTAATTACAAAAGATTCATAAACATGACTATAATGAGGCCTGTTTGGACTTACGGAGTTGAGCTATGGAGCTCCACTAAACCATCAAATTCTTCTTGTATCCAATCCTTACAATCCAAAATCCTTTGTAAAATTCTCAATGCTCTCTACTTTGTTACGAATAAAATCATCCATAATGACCTTAATTTTTCTTTTGTATCAGATCTGGCCCAATCCAGATACCTATCCTTCCATAATAATCTTCTGAATCATCCCAACCCTCTCGTTTCTAACCTTGCTTCCTCTTCAATTCCTGATAACCCTCCGAGGCGTCTGAAAAGAAGATGGCCCCGTGATCTCCTTATGCAGACATATCATTAGAGTGCTGCCATTGGGTAGTTACTCAGCAAGTGTTTTCATATCATTATATCCATATGTTCAAATTTACTAGATGTATTTATATAATACAGTTGTAAATATCATTAAGAAATAATAAAAAAAAAATAAATAAAAAATAAGGATAAATCAAGTACCATGTAGCATGTTGCAGTTAAAACCTTTTCAAATCAATTACTTTCAAAAGTAGTCAGTAGTTAGGACTATGTCACACTACTAGTTTCTTTATGTTGCAACTGATGGCACTAAAATTAATTTGGAACATAAATAACTTTTGTTGTGAACCATTTCTGAGTGAAAACTCAGTTTGTGCAATTCTGTTAGAACCTTTTGAAACCAATTCCACAATAAGGTAATGTTCTTTTACTTTTCCTCACCTCTAGTATACAGAAAGGTTATTCTGCTGGTAACCAATCTATTCAGAATGATAAGGTCATGGTTAATTTCATAAGGAAATCATGCAATAAATTTCAACCAACCCATATTTGAATTGAATGAGTACTGCTTCTAACTCAAGCATGCTGAGGTGATTCATTAACTATAATGCATGTGCACAGGACTGCGCATTGCATGGCAACCTTGATCAAAGATAATAACATAAATAATTAGGAGTTTCGGTGCCCAGGAGGCTTTTGACTCTGGCATTAATCCCCCAGCCTCACCCTCAGGCCTGGAGAAGCCCTGTATAACCTAAAAGGCGAGGACCCAAAAAAATGCTCACTTATCCTACCTGGTCTCACTTTTTTTTTTTAATGTTCATTTCAGTTCATCCCGTCTGGGATTTTAATTAAAGCCAATCCCAGCAGAGTTAGATTTAAAATAATTTACAGATTATTCATCACTCAGTGGTATTAGAATTTAGAATTATGAGCCAAAATATACTCTTTGGATCCTAATGGCTGTTGATTCAATTGATAAAATACAATTTGTTAGTTATGTGGAATTTATTCCCATGATGAAAGTACATAAATTATAAGATATATGATAATAAATTAAATATTTTAAATAGATAACAATGATTTCCTTTTGATTATTGGAAATAACTATTGGAAGCTGTGAAATGAAGAAAATCCAATCTATAAATGTTGAAATGAAACCAATGATCAGATTTGTAATAATGCAGATTAACAGAAATATATTTATACTCATTGAAAGGTAATTAGAATTATAAAATTATGATTTGGTTTATACAAATTGTATAGTGATAATAACACTTCATTAAATGCACAGTCATCTCTTATTAATAAATTTATTAATTTTAGCAAAGCAATTTGAGCATTTTCAGGATCAGAATATTATAACTATGTACACAATAATTAAATTACTGAGCTTTTGGAAAGCTTTCAAAGAATTAAATTTCAAGTACAGTTTAAGTGCATACTATCAAATGAACAAACATGTTTCATTAATAAAGGTATACATGATTATAAATAATGGTGAGATAGTGGTTTACAACTCTCAATAACAAAATAACACTTTAATTAACGAACGAAACACTTCTATGAGAAGATAAAGTATCTTTGAACAATAATTTTCTGATATTTTTCTTAACGTAATATAATGTATGTTTAATAATACTTAGACTTATTTGTCAAAGGGGCAAAATAATTCACCATCCTTTCTTTATATCTGGAAAAACTTTAATCAGATCAGTGTGTTAAGAGTACCTTCTTAGGTCTTTGAACTAAATTAAATATTAGTGGAGTGGGTTATGAAGATATACATAGCTATTAGGTTCGTTTTAAGAATTATATATCATTTTGATGAAAGAGCGTAAAAATATACCTCAGAAATTTATTCAAAATATTTTATTTTTTCTATGAACCACAACAAACAATATGAGAAAATACTGCTATCAAAATTTATACAAAGTTTTTTTTTTATCATTAAAGATTGAGCCAAAACAAATAGAAAAGGATGGTAATTTTTTTGCACCTCAGGCTAAAATGCTATATACATGTTTAAAATAATACTATTTATAATACAAACAACCAAATATTGATAGAAAAATAGGAATCCATTAAAAAAAATATATGAAATTCACTGATAGTCACAGTGTATAACAAATTATAGACATGTTGTACTCCACTATTTCAGACAATGTGAAATATAGACTAAAGTGAAATATAGTGTAAAAGTTACATTAAAATAATAATAATAAAATAAGTGATTGGTGTTTAAAATGAATGTGTAATTTTTTTTATTTTATTAATTTTTTTTCTCATTTTAAATATTTCCTCCATATAAACAAATTTGGCATTTAAGAAATAGATATTTAATAATTATTTTTATAATACCATTAGTATATGTATATATACTCTATAAGATTAATTTCTTAAGGCTTTTATATTGGGATTACGTTCATTCTATCCCATCATGTTTCTCTGTTTATAGCTTTAAACTCACTCACTTCATTCACAATCAATAATGATTTACATCACAAATTTGAATCTGCACATTTCAGTAACAAACGTAAATTTCTTACTCATCTATTACTGTTGGGATGACTTTTCACTCTAATCAGTACTTTACAGCAAAATTAAAATAATTTAAATTGAATGTTTAATGTTTTTTAAATGACACATTTATATCAATATTTTCTTATTATTCAATTTAATTAAAAAAGACAAAACAAACTGATTTCTGAAAAAAGCCATCGATTTTCGCATCAAAGCAAGCACCATTCTAAAACTTTTTCTGGTCTAATTTGCTTACATTTAAATGAAGAAGCTAGCCAACAGCAATAATACCTCAACAATTGCTATTATTCACATATACTAGTTTGAAAATGTGGTAAAGTCTGCCTACAATTAATGGATGGGCGAATAAGGGACGACAGGTCGTGAAGATACTTCTTGAAATGTGTCCTATTTTTAAAACTCTAAGATATAACTAGAACATGTCCTCAACAGTTTATATATCTACCCTTAGAATAAAAATTCTGTCTACTTCATATTTACATATAAACATTAAGTCACAGGTGACTGTATATTAAAATGGTACAGCAAGCTACAGCTGGCTGTACCTGAATTCTTTATATTATATTCATTTATATTAAAATATGAATTTCATTGTACTATACCTTACAATAAATTAATTGAAATATTAGCAAATAAAACAAGTTTCTAACATGCATAACTTAATGTTAACACAAAATAGGTAATCTTAGTGAAATGTGCTATCTTACAGGTTATTTATAAGCTTTTTCAATATCAAAATATCTTAGCTCTATCAGTTATAACATTACATATTGCTTTGGAAAATTGACTGAAAAAAAGTTAAAGAACACTAACATGCTCATTATTTTGGAAAACAGATAGATATCTTTCCTTCTTTTAAAAATATAAGGATTTGGATAATCAAATGTAGTTTTCTAAATGAAATTAATTAAATAAAGATTTTATATATGTATATATAGATATAATGTTACAGGTTGCACCTTTATCTTTCACAGCTTGGTAAACTGTCAGTGATTGAAGTAAATGAATAGTTAAGTAGAATCAACGAGACGTTCAACCAGCCGGTGATTTTGACTGGTATCCTTCAGTTAACCCTTCCCTCAATATTTCCATAGGTGACTCATGGCCATGTTCTAGCATTGATTCTCTGCTTTCCTTTGCTTCTTCGGCTGTTAGCTGGACACTTGGCTTTGCTGTCACATCTAACATAGACTTCAGCGTTGGTTCTTTCAGTTCTCTGTTTACATACACACCATTTGGTTGTGGAATGATTTCATCACTGTCTGTAATATTTGTTATTATGATATGATTGTTTCCACTGCTGACCCCAGTGATCTGACTCAAGAGATGAGGATGATTCAGAAATGGGGCCAAGGTACTGAATGTGGATTCTGTAACATTAAGGACATTAGAAATCATGTCTACATGCTTTTCTCTTTTAAATTCTGGCTTTTTAAGTATTGATTCTACAGGAATTTCTGCATTTAGAGAATTATGAGGAGTGGATTTGCTTTTCATTAATAACTTTTGCTTAATGTCTTTTTGTTTTGATTTAGAGTAATGTTTTGGAGGAACTGTTGTTGTTTTTATAATAATGGATTTTTTCGTAGTTGGAATTTCTGTTGTAACAGCTGTACTTTGGAAATCCAAGTTGATATTGGTGTAATGGCTACTGCCAACTGTGAAGCCTCCTGTTGTTGTGTTGAAACCTAGTTCATTAGTTAAATCTTCTATTGTCCTCAGCTCTCCTTCAGTTGTTGATAGGTTCTCATGTAGGTCACTGAAAACAATTATGTCAGTGAAATCATTTGAATCTTCCTGTTTCACTTCTTCACTCTCGCTGTGCCCAATAGCAGAGTCGGTAGTTGCACTGAACGTTGGTGTATCAAAGCAAACCTGACCGCAAGCACATATTTCTGAGAAATCTGAGCTCATTCCATCAGACTCCCCTAGAACCAACATTGTTTTATTAGCATATACACTGTAATAACTAAATTACTTTTTATATTAAACAGTTTTCAGATTTTTTAATAAGTGAACAGATTAGGTAAAATTAATTATTTGTAAAATGTCACACCTGCTCTACTGCTGCCAAACCAAGTTATGAGGTCATCCTCAGAGGTTTCTAATAATAGAGGGGAACCTCGCCTTGTATGGAAAAAAAGTTCAGCTGCAAGATCAGCCCGTCCTGAGGGGTAAACTCTCGCAAAAGCTGGTCTTAGCCTTCCGATGATATAATCACTTTTGGCTGTGAACTCAATACAAACTGCACATTGTGTTGTAACCTGGAGAAAAAATAAATTCACTTTTCTTAGAAAGAATAATGAATGGTTTAATATGATAGTAAAAAAAGTTAAAAGTAATGAGATGAATCAACTCTAGTTTAATTGTCTTATTTTTTTTTCTTCATATACATCAATTGAAAGAAACAAATTGATCAAATGATCAACAAATCAATTGATAAGAATAGCTTAGCCAACAGCACATTTTCTTTGGCTTGAATAATTTCTCATGTAACATTTTCAAACTCATTTACTTTTTCATTAGTATTCCAACTGCAGCCATTTCATTTATAAAATTGTTAGCCATTAACCATAGTGTTGATGTAATAATTTTATGAAATTTTGAATAATAAAACCATTTTGGAATGATTTATTATTAGTGTGTTGCTGGTATATGTTTTACTACTTGATAACCAATAAAAACAGCTCCAAAATAATTATACTCACATTCCATTCCATCCTATTTTATTTATTTTATTTTTTTTATCTATTCTTTTTCTTTTACTTTTTTCAATCTGTTTAATTTAGTTATTTAATTACTTTTTTAAAATAATTATTTATTGTGTGAAGTTTTATTAACCCAAACATTCTAGGATGGTCACAATGTTTATTTATTAGCTTTCTCACTATTTTGTCATCTATGTATTAATTTTTTTCAAAAATAGAGATAATTTCAATGATATCACTATAGAAGAGAATGTGTTTGAATATATACAGAATTGTAGGTATCTAGGGTCTATGATAATCAGGAAAAACGAAATTGGAGAGGATTTTAAGGTTAGGTTGAAGTTGTGAAATGCTTGTTATTTTTCTTTGTCAAACTACTTAGTTCTGGCCTCCTGTCCAGAAACTTAAAAAGTTATTTACAAAACCATTATCCTTCCTATAGTTCTTTATGGACGCAAAATGTGACTGCCTACATAAAGGAATGAGCAACATCTTAAGGTTTTTGAAAATAAATTGAATAAATAAATAAATTATAATAATAATAAATAAATTGAAAATAAATAAGAATATTGCATAAAATATTCGGACCGAAAAAAAAACAAGTCAACCGGAGAATTTAGGTGGTTACACAATTGCGTGAACTGTATCCACTTAATATTATTGAGATGATATTAAGGGGATAAAATATGAAGTAAAGGCGAATAAAATAGGCATGTAAAATCGCTGGGCTTAGTAACGAAAGAATTCCTAAAAAGTTAATATGCGCTGTACCGACCATCAAGCGTCTGAGGGATATACCAAAGCGGAGGTGCAAAGATTGTGTTAAAGCTGATCTGGTGGGGTTGGGTATAGATGGAGCCCGGTGGATGTAAGAATGCGTACATGGATTAGTGGTATCGGAATCGGCATCGGGTTCGCTAAGCCTTATTATTATTATGTATTGATTTTCATTTATTTTTTCTACATAGTTCTTCATCTGCTTATTTAAATCTGGCAATGGGTCTGTTCTCAATTTTCTATAGTTTCAATCTTCATTTAATATTAAACTCATTCATTTAGTATTAATTTGTTGTCATAATCTTGCTTTACTATTATTGCTACTTTTTTGTTTTATCCCATTTCACTATTAATATATTTTTCTCTTTTTAATTTTTTTTTTTTTTTTGTCTTTAAGACTTGTAAAAGCAAGTCCTATTTTGCATTTTTAATTTTATTAATGTTCCAAGTAATTTTTCCATATTTCTAATGTTTTATAGATCTAATGTGTGTTTTTATTATTGTGAAGTGGCAGTCACAATAATAAAAACACACATTAGATCTATAAAACATTAGAAATATGGAAAAATTACTTGGAACATTAATAAAATTAAAAATGCAAAATAGGACTTGCTATATATATATATATATATATATATATATATATATATATATATATATATATATGTAGTACTCACATTTGACACAACAAACCAAACCCTATCTGCTCTTGAACCATAGTCAATATCAAGTTGATTTGGTGCAACCGACAATAGCTCAAAACCTGAGAAAAGATGAACTTCCAGTCTTATAACACCGGAGATTTCTGGTCCTTTCCACCTGAAAGAATTATAATATATGTTACCATACAATGTAAAATTGAAATATTTAAAATACACTTTTTTTTTCTCATGAAAATAGAATTTTTAAAACTGAGTGCATCCTAAATTTGAAGTCAAGAATTATATTTGTGTAATTTATTTACTATAACGATTTCGAAAATAATACTGAGTCAATTTATGGCTTGAGTTTTTAATTATTTGTATTTTTTAAATGTCTGAAGTGTATAAAAAGTAATGCTCTAAATAAATTTTCTATTTTCAATATTTTGTCATTATTTTATTCATTGAATTCTCTTCTACACCTATCCCACAAAAGATGCAAAATGGAGATTTCCCATCCCAATATATAATAAAAATAATAATAATTATTCCATACTACACCAATGCGAAAACTGGTGCCTCTTAAATTTAAAGACACCGTAAATGGTATATATTTTGGTTTGAAAAATAAAACTTAAAAATTATGAAAAATAATTTTGATAATTAATTGTTATATTCAGAGATCATAAAAAATGTTAAATTTTGATAGCTAAATCAGTAGTTATATGTTTTGTAAGATATGTATTCAGAATGATGACCGCAACTCAGATAAATTGACATATTTAACTCAGAAATTATTATACCATTAATACACTGCCCGAAACCAATTAGGTAAAATGTTATAATATTGTATGTTTGTAAGAGTAAATTAACATACTTGAAACATGTTTTAATATTCAAGAGCGGCAGCTTTCCTTCAAGCTCTTGTATTGAATTCCTTCTTGGCATTATTTCTTCTGTTACTCCTGCCCAGAGATCAAATAGATTAGTTGTCTTACTAGATGAGTATGTAGCATAGCTTATCTGCCCCTGAAATTGTGTATAAAAATTATAAGCTACAAATAATTTTAAAAAATGTACTATTGTCTATAAAAGATATATTTTTTCAAATTCTGTTGTAGTTACGTTATTTTTTATAGATTTATACCAATAAATTACTATTAATCAATTTTCTTTTATTTTTTGCCCAAAACGTTGTAATGAATAAAAATTATTATCTTAGAAGTAAGAGTCGTAAAGTGGCCATGCATGAGAAGGCTATTATTTTAGCTTAGTAGACTTTTTATTATATATTCTTTTTATTCTTATATTCTTGCAAGGTTTAAATATTATAAATTTAAAATTGATAATTAGGGAGAAAAGGAGACTAGCAGTCCTTAGTTTCTATTTTTTAACAAATATTAATGTTATTGAATATCACTAATACATATTAAAATTGAATGGTCAGAAACTATTTATATATTGTAATATTTCATCAACCAAATAATTATAATTAATCTTCAACACGATATCCTTTTATTTTATTATTAATAAGTCATAATAAGTGTCACTAAACTTTTTTTTTATAATTTGGTAGTGTACCTGTACAGTAGCACATCCAGCACCTGTAGCATAAACAAATACTTTGGTCGGAAGTGATGGCAAATTGAGAATCTGAGGTGAAGAGTTTGCCCTTAGTTCTAAAGTATCGGTAAGTTCCATTCCAGATGTCGCCAGTGACACAGTTAACCAGCGGTTAGGATCATGGGCGAGCCAACCAAATTGTGAGAATGCTTTTACTGCTGTGAAGATTAACTGAAACAAAAAAAAAAGGAATAAGTAATTTTAAAATGGAAATTATAAGTAATAATAGTCTATTTACATTCATTACTTTTTTAAAGGATAGACTCCATTTTGGTTTTGGTAGAGATAAAATTATTGGAATATTTAATGAAATAAAGTAAAATAATAATTTAGAAGGAAAGTATGAATTTTGATAAATGTAGAAGAAAAAAATATAGAACAATACTTACTTCAGTATGTGTGTCCAGAATATTGGCCCTATAGAAAAGATATCTTGCAACTGGTTCTGCTGACTTAAGATCATCCCTTAGTGTATATGTCATTAGAGTATATAGTGAAGCTTTGAACTCTTTCAGATGAGCTGAAAAGCAAAAATAATATTTGAGTATATTTTTTAAATTATATTAAGAAACTAGGCATTTCTATTGACTGCCTTAATGATATCTGGCTTAAGAGGTGTACAATGGTCTAGATTCATTAAATAATTCATTATATAATTTATGTTATTAGGTTTAATTACGAATTAACCTAATAACATAAATTCATTATATAATTTATGTTATTAGGTTTAATTACAAATTAACATAACACAAAATCAAATTTTATTATTGAAAGGAACATTAAGTTTCAATACTATCAGGTTTTCCACTTACTATTTTGCTTTAATATTTAAACCAACATGTTATTTTTGTGCAAATAACAAATAAACAATAACAACATGTAAATAAACTTATATCAGTATTATTTTTAATAAGTAAATAAAATATATTATTATCTGCTTAAATCAATCCTGCAAAAGCCCATAGGACATCAGAATAGTTGATAATTAAGTTGTATAATTAAATAATTTTTTGCTGTCTCATAGTTCTAGAGATCATTCTTTTCCAATATCTTAAAAATCAATATTTGTTATTTTTACTCAATGTCGCATCTATATTTTCTTTCTTTTTTCATGGTAATTTTTTATCCATTTTTTTAATTTTAAGTATTAAATTGTGTACTAATTAGTATAAAATTGAAGAAAAAAAAATTTAAAATAATGTTTCCGTCCTCTAGCAAACCTTGAGAGCACTAGTCTATGATTAACCTTAAACTATTCCTAAAATACCTCATAATAATAATCCCTAAAATATCACTACTTGAAACTAAATCACTCAATATAATTAAACCATCATGGTTTGATGAGTTTAAGATATTAACTCAATATAGAGCATAAATCTTACAGTTCATATTAGTGACGGGCTGTTTCTTCTGCTCCATACCTTCCTCATACAACCAGTCTGAGTTGTCCCTTGGTCTTGGCCAACCAAAATCTCCTTCTTCATTCGTTGAAGCGTTCTTTAGCCTCTCTAATGCTGCACCGGTTTTTTCACTCTTCACAGAAACAAGAGCATAGCATAGCATTGCTAGGGTACATCCATCTATAGTGCTGTCGATATTAGCTTCGAGATAACGTTTTGCCTTGAGGATCACTTTTGAATCATTCTGAAAAAGTAAAATGTTAATAAAACATTTTTGGTGAAATTTAATAATAAGTATTGTTATTTGTATAGGAAGATTAGTTACGCATACTTATTCATCTAAGTGATTCAGAAACAATTGACTTTGTCATAAGTTAAAAATAAATTACAAAATGCTTAAGCAACAGACAATACGTTAAATTATATCTCTTCCCCCTCCACCCCTTCCCCGCTGTATTTAGAAGTATTGAAATTCTTAAAGCATATATAAAATTTTGAACCAGTGGAATATTATTTTAACCTAGGTTTCAGGACACTGTCAATACACTAAAAAATTTTCACAAATTTCACAGTCAAAAACAATTTCCTGAATACAAAATGTTCTTTATGTGTAGCAGAAGATATAACCTGTCAAAAAATGTTATTTTTTTTTTGTTTATTAACTAATAAAATTGTTTAACTCTTTTTTTCATTTAAGAAAGTCATTATAGGTTGGTGTATTGTTTTTTTTTCGAAAGAAAGAAATGCAAAATATACTACATTAAGTGAAAGAAAATATTGTGTAAGTGGATATCTGTAACAATTATCATTTTCCAGATTAATTTCGAATTTCGTCATACTATTTTACATCTATACCTACTATGAATAAAGGTCTTACTTAACTTTAAACTAAAATAAGTGTAGTCAGCAATTGGTTTTTAATAACTATCATTTACTTGTGATATTCAAGGGAAACAGAAATATTAGTGGTTGAAATAAATAGGAAGAGCTCTTTCACAAAAACGGATTTGTATAACTGGGTCAAATATTTGTAGATTCTCTGGCATTTTTTTTTTTTTACTATCCTGAGGGAGGGTGGCATCCAGCAACACTTCTTTCCAGTCTTGATTAAATGCATTAATTCAAGAAAGGTGGTCTCTCATATAACTCCTTTTTAGTTGCCTCTTTATAGAAATGTCAGCTAAAGCTATATGATTAATCAGTCTGTTCCTATGTCTGTGAAGATTATTATGAAATGATAATATTGAGAATAAGAAGTATGTATGTGTTGGATTGTGTGAATGGTTGTTGTTAATTGGAATGTAGAGTTTTGTTATTTAGTTAACAAACAGAGTCTATTATTATTCCTAAAATTTTGGATGGAAAAGTTTTTGTTTTTGTAAGTGATTCTTTATTAATAAATCATAAATTTGTGAGAGTTATGTCCATATTGAAATCAGAAGGTTTGATTGAAGTTGATCAGTGATACACAATAAATCAGGTAGATACTTTTTATAAAAAAAACTAGATATTTTAGTATAAATAGTAGGCATTGTTTTTTTGTTTTTTTAAAAAAGATGATTGAACTTATTTTTTTATATATCATCTATCAGGAAGAGTTAAAAATAAAAACCTAAGAAGAAGCTTGAATTTATTTTATTTATATTCATGCTAGAAGTGAAGTGCATTTGTCCTTAGAATTGATTGTCATATGAGCTCACAAGGAGAAGAACTTAACTAATTTATAAAGGAATTGACTTGGTGAAATATCTACAAACTAAAATGTAATTACATCATTTTCAATTCCAATGTTTATGAGTGCTGCCAAAGCATCTGCAGTTGTTGAGATGGTCCTCTCCAGATCTGTACAACCTGTCATGTTGTCTGGAGTAATATCCATAAAATGAGGTTTGAAGCTGCCATCTTCTTCTTGATTGGATTGTACCCACTTCTTCAGATTTTGCACCAAACCAGGATCGATACTCATTATTGATTGGACTCTGGACAACAAATCTAGGACTTCAACAGAGCTCCTAAGTAAAATAAAAAAAAAAAATTGAATGATATTGTATGGTTTTAATGCACAATAATTGAACTTTAATTATCTTTATATACATTGAAACCTCTTTTAGCACCATTTATCTATTAAGAATTTTCCTTCATAGTGAACAAATTTATGAAACCCATAAATTTTTCAATCAATCTATTCTATCAAAACTTTCACATAATGCATGCTCTCTATAAATTGATGCCAGTAGCAGATTCAGGATTAAATATATAAATATTTTAATTAACGGTAATTACAGGAATAATAATACTTTTAAGGATGAAATTTTTATGTCTTTTTTTTTTGACATATGCTTAGATTTAGTAGCTGAAGTGCGTGTGTTATAATTTAAAAAGAAAACATAATATTGTCGACACAAATGCTAACTATCAATGCTAATTGCCTTTTTTCAATATTGCATTCTAGTGGTTGTAATTGTAATTAAATATTTTTAAACCGTGAATAAAAAGTCTTCAAACATTCATAAAAGAACATATTAGTATGAAAATTAAAAAAATGCTCATTGTTTGAGTGTTTTTTTCATTTTCTGAAAATTTGTATCAATGATATGATTGTTTAATTATCTGGGTCAGATTATTCGTAGACAAAATACAGTGGACAGACTGTTTTTATTCATTTTAATATCTAATAATCCAGAAATCATGACAATGTATTTTAGATTACTATTAGATTTAGATAATAATATTATAGTAGAAAATTATGATTATAGAAACTGGTGCATTGATCTTGATGTAAGAACATGAATACTGTCAGTTTGCAAACAAAATTAAATATAAGTCCATTTTTAATGGCAAACACCTCTTTATGTACCTAATTCTATCTTTCTTATGAAATATTATTATTCCTTATGACCATATATTAAAATTGTAAATTCATACGTTGTAATTTGTAAACAAAACTTAATTTAAATGAATAAACATTGTCCTAAATATGATTAATGAAATAAAGTTTTAATCTTTTATTTTTTTTCTTTCATTTTCTCTGCTGTGAATGGATATTCATTCCCCAGAGGTGTCCAGTACGGATAAGTTTCACTATATTTTTCTTACACATTGACAAATTTTATCAATTTAATTATCATGGTTCATGTCACACACATTATTTTTTTGTAATATTGACAAAAAATTATAGACATTTCATAAATTTGATAAAAATTGATTTTTTGAAGAGGAATGTTTAATAATGCAGTTGTATTTATTTAATTTTAGTGTCCATAAAAGAAAATTTCTCAGCCTTTGTTATTATATTATATTAGTTTATTTGAGGAAAATATTATCTTACCATAGACTTGTCATGTTATGATGGTCACTGAATGAGTTATCGTCCTTTTTAAATAGGAGTAGCTTCTGAATATTTGAACCAAGGCTATTAATCAAATCTTGCCTTTCGCCATTTTTAGTTATGTTTATGTGTATCTTCAAACCTTCATGAGCTATCAAAGGGGCGATGCTTGAGATTGTCGTTGCGAGGCTTGAATCAGAAAATAAATATTCTAGTTTCAATAGAATTATTAAAACACTTAAAATTAAATGACTTTACATTACTGAACTATTATTCTGACTGATCACTGGCAACTCTAGTGTGGATACTGAAATAATTGGGGTAATTGGCTCAATTATAAGTAACTTAAATTGGCACTTGGAACAAATAATAAAATAGGATATTAATATTATATTTTTATTAGTGTTTAATTATTGTATTTGTTAGTAGATATTTGTATGCAATTAATTATATTTAAAAATTCTACCAAACTCCTGTGTGCCTAATTCAGCATTTAAACCGACTGAGCGTAATAAAACAGGTGAGTAGAAAGAAGCAAACAACTTGAGGAACGACAAAGGATAACATGAAGCAATTAACCATAAATAAACCTACCATTTAAATTTAAATACTTAAGGTCAGAATATTCACTGAAAATAAATAACTATAATTATACAAATAGATAAAAATAAAACATTAATTTTAGTCATAGTAGTTAATTTACTTATGTCTAAACTATGTTTTATTTTTCTATAGTGTAAGTAGTTTGTAATAACTTAAAATTGTCATGGAATAATCAAGCAAATGCAGTATGTTTTGTAAAACTTTTATCTGAAATTGATTTTGATTTCTGTTTTAATTCATGAACTGAATATTTCAAAATACTCACACCAGTGTTGTAACTTGCTAACCTCTTTCTCTAAAATAGTTATATTAAAATAGTATTCTTATAGCCAAATTTACAAAGTTAAAAATATGTTATCTTCAATTAAATACAAATCTTCCATTCATTTCCGCAAAACTCTAGATCTTCATATCTGCATACAAGGACCCACCAAACCTCATAATTCGACGAATCATTCATTATCCAATCTTCATCCTTACGGAATTCAATTTTTTCTACATCGGTCACTCCAGTATCTTCAATATATTTAAATGCCACCTCGACCATTTCCTATTGATCCAGTTTCGAAAAAAATTTTAAATAGAGAAGTTTGTAATTATGTACATAAATTATTGGTTTCTTTTTTCAATTACTTTATGTTTATGTCATACTTTTTTTTTTATTTCTTAATATTAGAGAATATTTTTCAATTTTTTATTATTCTATTTGTTTATTCTTTTTATCTTCTTTTTTGTTGCTACTCTGCAAAAGGTACTTGTTCCAGAATAAATAAACAATTTATTATTATTATTAATCTAATTGAAAATTTCTCTATTATTTTATAATGTACAATTTTACAAAAAAATTCCTATAAGTGCTGGCCTTACATGTTTTGAGTATCTGTGCTATTAAATCATGTGTGCTCCCTTACTCTTTTCCAAAAAATTCAGTTTATGTATGTTGCCGTATATTTGAATTGTGTTTTTGTATTTCATTAAGTATGTTTCCAATTGTAATGCTTTATAATTAAGCTAAAACTAATTTATTTCATGCACTTTGTATTATTTTATGATTCTCAAAATGAGGATGTGCCCGAGTAGCCCGACCCTAAGACTGGTAAATGAAAATGAAATGAAACAAAAATAAAAAAAAAACAATGATACTAGATCTTATTGGTAAAAAGTAATGTTCTGTGAATTTTTAATGTATAATTTATTTTACAGGATTATGAATTCCAAGTTCAGTATTATTAGTATTAATTTGCTTTCAAACTGAATGAAATTTTTGTTTTAGGGAATTGTTTTACCAATAAACATCATTATCGATACGAATGAAACAAATATATATATACAACTGTGATAACGATTATTATGTAACAGTTTCTATACTAACCTGCTGTATTCTGATAGAGATGGTCTTGGTGATATTTTTAATGATGGCAAAGACAATCCTCCAGCTACCAGTAGGGTTCCTGTTTCTGAACCAGGAAGTACAGATCTAGGTATATCAAGGTGAAGGACCTGTGAGAATCCAGCTTCATCATTAAAATTCCATACTCTGAAAAAGAAGGTAGGTGATAAACTGTGTTCTATATAAACTTAAAAACTGTTATTAGAAGATAAGATTTCATTATAAAATTTTATTTTTAATCAAAAAATCTATTTATAACCAACACTTTCATAGAATATATCTTTTTAATTTATGTATCAAAACTTTTCCTAACCTAATTTCTGCAGCTTGGCCCCACGTAGTGGCAAATCCTAAGAAATTTACTTTCATCTTTTTTTCCATTCGCCATTTGAGAATAACGGAATCATGAATTTGTGGCCCTTTGCCAAAAGATAGTACTCCTCTGTCCCAACTCATCCAAAAAGTTCTTGATTCATCACTTGACAGGATCTGCGGTGTGCTTTTGGTCATCAAATGAACAGAATATCCTAAAATGTAAAATTCATTATTTACTATAAACATGAATATTTATCAGTCATATTTTATCCAGTAATAATATTAATGAACAGAGGTAAACAATTAATTCAATAAATAACAGGGAACAAAGAATGCTTAAACCCTTAAAGAATTATACTTTTCCAAACAGCTGACAAGAAATCAAAGCATATAGATATCAAAACATATAGGCTCTACAATTTAATAACTATTATAAGTTTACTATTCTGGCTTGTTATGCTTATTTAGGTAGCAATGATTCATGCTTGTTTCACTAAAAATGCCTCTTTCTATGGATTAAAATAAAAATAAAATAAATATAAAACTAAAATACCATGTTTTCCTCTGCCAATCCATGAAACACTGTTATCTAAGTCACCAATAACTACTTGATACATCCTTTGAGAAATGTTTTGGACTTCAGACAATGCAATGTGTAGACCTCTCCCAGCCCTTACCTCAAAGACACTGGCTTCTCTATTCCTTGGGGCTGGGATGAATTCGTAACGGAATTCTTCAGCAGTTGATAAAACCATTTGCTCTGAAATAAATTTTACACTAAATTATTTAAATATTGAAATAATAAATCATTATTATCATAAATTAAATTCATAATTCTATTATTAGTCTTAAATAAGCTTTATCTAATAAGCCACAAAATTACAATTAATTGTTTGTAAATATATTTAAAAATTGCTGTAATAGCTTATCAATGATAAAGCCTTGTTACTTGATAATAATATAAAAAAAAATAAAAAGTACAAATATTAAACAAGGAATGAATAGATATTGATTTAATGAATTCAATATGTACTTGAATTATCTTTTTTTGAACATTTAGGGCCTACATCAAAATTAAGAGAAAAATTGTAGAACTTTATTTGCAGGAGTAGAAAAAAAAAATGACTGCCTATTTAAAAAAAGCAACTGATATGTCAACCTGGTACAAACATAAAAAAGAAAGAAAAAATACACAAATTAACTAAAAAAAAGATAGTGCAGAGTAACATTCTTAAAATTAAATTAAATTTAATTAAACCAAAAAAAAAAAAAAAAATAGTGCAGCAAACAAAAAAATTAATAAATAAAAATATTTTGAATTGTTATACATTTTCTTTTTGTTGATTGATTCTTACTTAATTATTATTTTTATTGTAACATATGAGATTTTTTTAATATAAAATATTTTATTAAAGTTCTTGTTCAGTCTTTTACATCCATTTATTTAAGAAAAGCGATTTCAATCTGATAAAAACTAATGTTAATAACATGTATTCAAACAAAGTTAACATATAGATCATTCAGCATCGTTTAGAATTTTATGTTTGGGAATTATATTTTTATTTTTTAAATTTATTAATAGAAGAGCCAATAATATTTGTTTGATTTACTAATTGATGGGATCAGTTCTTTCTTATGATGAATTAAATACCTTGGAGCAAACCCATTAACCTTTCAAGATGTTTGCATTAAGTAAACAGTTTCAGCTCAACTTTATGTCAGAATTCACTAATGGTATTGATCACTTCAAGTCAAACAAGGAAGTATCTCCATTTAAATGATCAACAAATATCCTATTTTATACTTTCGGAAAATAGAATATTAATAAATTGCTTACCATTAGCACAGAAGTAAGCACTCTCAATATGTGTCTTTACGAGGCCTTCCGGACTGACCAGAATGGATTGCTGTTTGGTCACTATTCCTACCATAGAATGGTTTCTACCTTTTTCAGTTGTCATGGACTGGCAAGTATCACTGTTGTATGCTGATACTTCAACTGAAACCATGTACACATTTAAGCTTTTTAAAAATTAATCAATAAAAATTATTAACAATTAAATTTTCTTCTTTATTTTCTCCCTTTACAGAGATTAAATATGTCTCAGAATGCTCCTAATCCCAGAGTCAATTTATAATATGATAAAATAGAAACATTTTGGTTTTCCAAGATTCTAAGCTAGGCTTGTTCTTGGAGCTATCTGACTTCCATTACATAAAATAATATATTTCAGAATGATCTTAAAAATTTAAGAATATTTCATATCCCTCAGATATCAATCAACTTCTAATTACCGGTCATATTTTTAACTCCAGGACTGGTTGCTACAACTCTAACAACTAAACTGGTTGCTCCATGCGGACCTAAACGCAGTTTCTCAGCTACAAATGGTTGACTACTACCGAGGAAATGAGCTCCTTCACTGAGTGTTAGAAGAGCATTCACCTAAAATAAAATAAAGAAGAGAGTAACTAATATTAAAAATGATAATAAATGTAATAAAATATAAATTAAATTTTGACCAATTACTAATGCCCAAGTTAAGTAGTGGGGAAACAAAATTACAGTAGAAAAGTGGAGGAGTGGGGACAGTCTTTGATGTATCTACAGGTGTCTTAAAGCCATTTTTATCATATAAATACCCAAAAGAAAAAAAAAAATGTTTCATTAGAGGAATAAATTAGAAATATCCTGTAACTTAAATAAATTTTATTTCCATATTCCAAATTGATTAGATTTTCCATGCCATATTCCATAGTATTTTTTTTTTTTTTACTTCTTATAAATGATTTGTTTAAAAGATTCTTTTTTAATATATTATTTACATATTCAATTATTCTGTAAGTTTTACTTATTTAATAAGCCAATTAAAAGCATATTTCTTACGTTATATAGACTAAAAAGGTTCTAATAAAGATATGTCCATAAATTCTTCTTCACTGATTTATAATCATTAAAAGATGATATGAATAAAAAGATAAAATACTCACATCAACACAAGAATTGAGATTGTTTCCAATCTTGATGTCTACTTCAAGGCTCTCTCCTGCCCTGAAACCTGCTGGCAGATGGAACTCCACATCAATTGGCTGAAAGACGGTAATGACAATAGGGTAAGAAAACCTCAGTCCCATTGCCTGTGATACAGATAGTGCTCCAAGTGACCACTTTCCTGGCTCTGGAGGGGCCTTCAGTCTTAGTCCTGTTGCTTCAACGTCACTCCTGAAAAATATTAATCAATGTTAAATTTGGTTATATTTACAGAAGAATAGAAAAAGACTAATCCAATATTTATTATCTTTTTTATAAAAATTAAATAAAATAGCAAAAGAATAAATCAGAGCCAAAATATTAGTTCAATATTCATGAAGTGATAAAAAATTGAAAATACCGATTGTCATTAGTGGTCAGAACTTCAAATAGATTGTAAATAAGATATTTAAAATATATTAAAATATTTAAATGCTCCACATTTGGTTTTAGAACACTATTGGAATAATAGTATAATTTATTATACAATAAAATAACTGAATCATCCGACTCACGTATAATTGAAGCATTGCCATAACCAGAGCTGCTCAAGTCCTGCTTCAGGCATAATACTGTGGTGGACTCCATGATGGGCAGGCCTAACTTCTTGTCTTCCACCGCAGTCATCCCAGAAGTAACTCACTCCAGCTTCACTTAAGTCCAGCTCTAGCCCCTTACTCCTACATTCACATAATTAATAAATTCACACCATCAAGGACAGCAAAAGATTTAGAATTTAATGAAGAATTTATAGATGAAGGTACAAAAAAATAACAGGATAGAAAATAACGCAATTTCTGACTGAAATAACAATCATACAGTAAATAACAAGATATAATATTTTAATTACATTTTCTGTGAGTGCAAATCTCCTCCTCTGCCCCCAACAAGGCAAACCAACGAATCCAGGTCAGAAAGAATTTGTAAGTCCATCACCTGTCCAGGATACCAAAATTTTTTTTGTTCGATATTCACAGACACCTAGAAAAAAAGAAGTTATATGATTTCAAACTCAAAATATATTTAAAAGTTTTATGTTCCTACTGGGGTTCATTAATACAATAAAACTATGGTGGGGGGTAGAGCACTTTATTACATTTCATTGATTAACATGAGGTACATCACCTCTAGCTTCCATGCTTACCCAAGCTACACTGAGTTGGCATCCTTCCACCAAAACTGTGTTGGCATAATCCACTTTCCAAACACATATAATAACAGTGGATAGTCCACAACAAAAAGTATTTCTTCCGTTTTAGTTTATTATTTGTGCTAAAAAGTCTATACTGACATCTTTTTAATATCATTTAATTTATTTGCAGTTTGTTTCTTTATAACTTATTCATTAGGATATAAAAATAGCAGGAATTGAAACAAATATATTTTGCTCTTTTTAAGCCTTGTATCAATTCTTCAAATGTGATTTAAATTTAGTGGCTTTTAGTCACCATATTTAATTTTAAAATGATAAACATAAACTGCGAATGAACATTCAATATTTTATACTGATTTTTTAGTCAACACATAGTGGGTATATAAAATGCCAAATTTGTATCCATAGTTATCAACATACTAAGGAACCATCATTACAATACAAACACCAAGATTATAAAAGGGTCTTTATAAAGATCAAATAAAAGTACAGTTTTTATGCTAAATAAAAACCAGATCGTATTATACATATTTGTTTTCTCAACGGGAAAAAAATGTTATTTGAGGAGGAAGTTGATAAAAACTTTATATAAAACTTTATTACTAAATTTGTAACACATTCGAAGACAATCCTGATGGTATTGAAATTAGGTACCATCCTGTTCCTTGGACCAACTCATTTAATAAATAACTGGAAATAAAAGTAAATTATATTTTTATGTAAATACGTTTTCCTATGAAATTTTTAATTTTTTATTTAATAATTTTTTTTAGTACCCACATCAACATGAATCTAAAAGAATGTAAATTATTGTTATGTTGTGTATGGAACATTTTAATTTAAATAACTGAAGAATTGGATGAAAGTGAATCTTCCTGAAGTCTGTAGAAAAATTTATAATAGCCCAATTATAAAATTTTATAATAGCCCAACATTGCCAGAAAATAATTTAAATTCAAAGTAGAGCGGTAAGTGAAAGTTATGTATTGCGCACACCAGACATATTTATTCAGAATAAATAATTATCTGCTAAAACCATACTAGAATTCGTTTCCATATACTGTCGTTTAATAACTCTAGATCTGATATTATATTTAAATAATTAGGTATCTATCATCCGTTAATTCTGAAAAATCATCATCTAACCTTTTAAAAAATTAAATTAGTAAATAATTTGATGAATTTTCCCTTTGTGATATTCCAACAGTATCAACTTCAAATTAGTGTGATAATTTTTGACCCGTCTATGACAGATATTATATTATATATATTTAATAAACTTTGCAATGGAAAACAACAGTTTAATAACTAATAGTCCTACAATCCATAATCAATGGATCGTACAATCCATAATCAACAGATCGTACAACCCATAATCAACCGGTGATATAATAAATAGGATTTTTATTATTTTAATGGTATTTATGATTTGTTAGCTGTAAGCATTTAGCTTTAGCTTGGTTAAAAATGCTATTAAAAATTTTATAATAGCCCAACATGGCAAGAAAATAATTTCTATTCAAAGTTGAGCTGTAAGTGAAAGTTTTGTGTTGCGCGAACCAGATTTTTACACTAAAATTAAACTATATTAAGTTTTATCGATTCATATACATCTATATTTTTGTGTAAATTAAACAAAACGAAAATACCTTTTAATCATAATTACAATTTATACTTTTGTGTAAAAAAAAAAAAAAAAAGAATCAACAGTGTGAACAGATGGTAATATCGATAAATAATATTTATAAATGTCGTATCGATAGTTATAAATCAGTAACAGCCTAAACAGTGTATGAATATATAATTAATTGGTCTTTAATATCATTTAGATCTTATCGCTATTGATGCCACTTTACAGAGCTTGTTGTATGTCCAATGTTCAATATGTCTTCCTCTAAAGTATGTTTAATATGGATTAAATTAAATAATTAACTATTTCTCATTGATATAAATAATGAAAAAAAAATGAATATAAGTTTTGAAAGAATTTAAATTAAAAAGAAAATTACTTATTTAGCTTGAAAATGAATAATATAGAAAGTCGTAAAAAAAAAAAAAAAATTGGAGAGAGAAGAAAAGAATATAAATAATAATTTCTGTAGAATATTATTAATGGATCATGTGTTTTCAAGGAAATTAAATGAAATTTACAAACTAAATGTAAACTTTTAAAATTTTGAAAAAGTATTTAAAACCAATCTAATCAAGGCAATGACATTGCTTAAAAAACTACTTCATTGTACTTGTGTGAAAGAAGAAGTGAAATATTTCATGAATGTATAAAACATATGTTTATAACCTTAAATATATTTACTGTAGTTTAATTATTTTAGATCTGATATTTTATTTAAATGATACGGTATCAACGTCCCTTTATGCCAAAAAATCTTTATGAAACCTTTTAGAAAATCAATTAGTGATTAATTTGATGAATTTTCTCTTTGAGAAATCCCAACATTATCCACTAAAAATCAGTGTGACAACTTTTGACCCATCCATGGCAGGCAAGGAAAATCTTGTAATTTCACTGTAGTAAACTTTACAATGGAAAATAATGTTTAATAAATAATAGGCATACAATTTATAATCATTTATAGGTTGAATATGCAGATAAACTTTCAAATTTCTTTAGGCATGCACGTAGCTGGAGTTATGTGGTTTGCAAAAACAAATGGGATACTGAGGTTTTCATTGCCTACCGTTGATCTAATTAATAGGATTTTTGTTATTATAATGGTCTTCATGATTTGTTAGCTGTAAGCTTTAAGCTGAAGCTTCGTTAAAAATGCACTTCAGAGATTTCATAATAGCCCAACTTTGGTAGAAAATAAAGTACGAAATACTTTTGTATTTGTTTTTGAAAAACAGAAAAATCATAATCTTGATATTTTATGTACCGTACTTTATAATAATGATTAAAATACTTTTTTCCTACGTCTACTCGATACCTAGATGGTTAAATATAGATTTAAACAAATCCTGTCCACTTCTTAGTTTGGCAAGATTATTTCAAAAACGGCTTTTCCTGTAGATTCTATTCTAAAAAGATACACCTCAAACAAAATTTAAAAGATAAATATTTACCAAACCAATTTAAATGGTGAGAGAGCACTTTAAGCATTCTACTTGGCAAAATTTTTATTCCCATACAAAATAAATTTAATATTAGAGGAGTACAATTTGAATTTTGCCAAAGAAAGGCACGAAATTCAGAAAATAACTTGATTTACATTTTTCTTGAGGTATCGCATTAGTATCAATACTCACCAAGTGTAAACCGGACCCAGAGACATATTTGGCCATAAGGACGAGCAAACCGCCCCGCTACAAATGGGCCAAACAGGTTGAGGGATCGAGGCGAGATATAATACAATTTGTGGGGGCCCCGCGAGCCGTTAACAAGGATATATTAGGAACGTGCCCCGCCAACCTTTATTTTATATATCAAAATAACAAAGTGCCCTATATATCATAGCCGCCCGGACCTCCCGCGTCTACTGATTTCTAGCCCAGATTCCTTGGAACCCCTTAGTCATTTTTTCTTCTTTTATCTGCAGTGTGGTCATCCTGCTGCTGAAAGAAAACTAAATAGGATTTTTAATTGTTTAAAGTAGCAATTTCGAGTATGAAACTGCTCCAATAATGTGACAACCTAGCTTCTAAAAAACATGGGATGAAACGTATTTAAAAAGTTCCATCTTAACAATTTATGTGAAACTTTTTATGAAAAAAAATTTTTTAAAGTAAGAGTTCAAAGGAAGTTTTTTATAATAAAGTTGTAGGTTTATGATAAAATCATAATTTTATTTATTTAAAAATGTATGTTAAATTGATATAAACACTTGTTGGGCTTTGTTTGGACTTATAGTTTATATTGGATGAATAACTTAATTCTAAAGTGTTGTTTGTTAGAGCAGTTGATAATAAAAGTCATTAGGTAGCGGGAGTGCTCAGAAGGGGATTTCATGGCGCAAGTTGTACCATCAAAATTATTGAAGGAGGTTTTATTTTAATGCATTTTTGGATGTTTGAGGGAGCACATTTCGACGTTTAAGGCTAAAAGTTTAAGACTAAGAGATATGAGGAAAACATGGGACATATCGATGCAAGTTCAATTGTAAGTTAACTTTGTTTTAAAGAAAAAGAGGACAATAAAATATCTTTGGAGGGAGAGGAGGTTTTTGCGCCCTCGATCTTGGGGGAGAGGAGATAAGCACCCCAGTTTGGTGAAGCACCTTTATGGCGAAATCAATGGATCTTTTAAATATTTTTTTTTGAAAATGAAAGTCCTTTACTTGAAAAGTTGCAAGAGAAAAAAATTTAGTTCCGAAATAACAGAAAAAAATAATTTTAGAAAAAAAAAACTGGCATACTGAAACTGTCAAAATATAAGAAATAAAATTATATTTTAAACCCTGCGGAAAATAGCTGAACGAGAATAGCTGTAACGAATCTTTAAAAAAAAATAAAGACGAACAACAATGCAGCAAAAATATTAACACCACTATGTGAAATGAACAAATCCAAGTAATAATTACGTGGAGAGCATACAGTCTGTGGGTCACCGATTTCTATCAAATTTCTTGTTATCGGCACTACACCGAAAAATATTAGACACATATCCCGGTATTCTTTCCAATGAGCTCTAGGAGACGAATTTTTTTTAAATATTATTTAAAACAAAATTATGCTATTTATTTTTGTCTTTGCTTTGCTCAGATTTTTAGGTTGCAATATACTAATCGTTTTGTTTTTTGTGTTGAATAAGAAAAAAATATTAACTATTGCAATAAATGAGTTATAGTGTATCATAAATTACAAAAATCAAAACGCGCTTTGAGTAAAGTAGGTCAAGTATTTTTTTTTTTTATAAAAAATAAAATTAGATTTCTTTTTAGGACCCTTAAAATTCTTACATACGAATTGTTATACATATAAAAAAATACAACTTTTAGTACTAAATTTTATTAAATGTTTTTTTTTTCTTGCTGTCAACCAAACCATTCATAACTCCTAAGGATTTTTTTTTCAAATTTAACTTTAATAGAACCGTTAAAAAGGTGAATTACTGCTCTTCCAACTGACACCAATAACTTTTGCATTTCATTTTTTTTTTTCAAGCTAGAAATTAACAGAAACTTGTAACCCATTTTTACTTTATATCTTTAGTATTAATTGTTTATGGAGGTCGGGTTTATGCCATTTCGTTAAGCACACAGAGACCTAAATGCAGACATACTTGACCACTTTAAATATGTAATACCTTAACTTAATTAAAAAAATAAAATAAAATTTCTGTATAGAACCCGGTCGGCATTCGATATGGTTAAACATTGACATTGAAGTAGCCACTGGTAGCTAAAAAAGTTGGTTAATCTTGAAAAGTTAATGAAAGATAAAAAACGCTAAGCTGATACTAAATGCAAATAAAATTATTACATTAAGGGGGCGATGAACTTTAAAAGTCAATGGTACCAATAAATTCTATTGCAAGTCTTTTACATATTAAAAGCCGAATTCTTCAGCTCTGTTGTATGGCACACCATTGTTCATGTTATCACGATATTCATCATGTTTATCATTCTCAGATTATCACTAATGTTGTATGAACATGTTCGAAAAATAACATGGGACAAGATACAACATACACAGGAGGGAATTAGTGAGAGGGGCTTCAATTCTACGAATTAATTTTTTAAATGTACAAGCAGCTATACATTTACCAACAATTAGAGAATTTCTCTTCGAGAACCTGAACTGATGAAATAGTTTTTATTAATTTCAGTTTCTGGGCCCACCAAGAAATAAATTTCAACCCGTTCAGATTGGATTCGAACCTCCGCCGTTAGACTGTGTTTATGCTTTAACATTTATTTATTTATTTTGGTTCTCCCATAACTTGCCTTTAAGGTCGTGCGGAGGTTTCCCCTGTCAATGGGGTGAGGGCGGGGGAATTAATGAGAGAGAAAAAAGAGCCCCGTCCGGGCACCGGTACGCGAACTCGTAATTATTTTACTGTCTCCAACTTCGGTTATCAGGTAGCTCGCTCGGCCATACCGCCCTCCGATTTAAAGCCGCAGAAACAACTGTAACTCCGTTTTCTCCTTGTTACCTGTTTTGAAAATATCACCATATTAAATCCCCACAAAAATATGATTCCCTCCAATTTCACACCCACGTAAATATGTCCCCTCCTCAAAATTGTATAATTCCGTAAAAATGCGCCCACTAAAAAATTGATGATCCTCAGCATGTTCCATGCCGTCATGTTTCGGACGCTTCTTTTAAATCCAATTTTTAGCTTCAGTTCTTGGCTCGCTAGAGCATAGCATGAACTAGCACCGACGGACGGTTCGCCCCCACATCCTATTGGCTCGCTGGACGTAATTCAGCTGGACAGAGGCCACTCTTGCCGAGAGTTATAATGATTGGGATTGGACCGGTTCCAGTCGATCGCAGGCCGTTATTGAAATTTATTGAACCGGATCCAGGGGAACCAAGGGCGCTTCGCTTTAAATCAAACTACTTCGCGGTGGAAATCCTCTATTTCTGACATTCCCGACAGCGAGGAGACTTCACGACAATGCAGAGTATTAGAATAAATAATTTTTAAAACTAGAAATAGAATAATTATATTTAAATATGTACAATTCTATTTTACATAAACATTTGTATAGTAAGCATTGATCTTAAGTTTGTCTAAACAGATGGCATGTTTAGTGCTCAAGCCGGAGTGCAAATATTTTAATTATTATTCTGGGAATATTATCAATTTGGAGGGATTCACAATCATAACGCTTTCAAGATTAAACATTAGCTCAAATAAATATTCCAATACATAATCTAAGAAAAAAAGATACTGCAATTTTAATAATTGCCTTATTTATTTTTTGTAAATTGAAGGGTTCTGCAGGAATAAGGAGGAAACTCTATGTGTTATAAATATATATTTTTTGATTTATGAGAATTATCAAAAATAATTAAAATAATTATTTTCTCTATATTTTGGTTCAGAACATTTTGTTGGAGAATTAAGTGTGTTTTATTTTTTTTATTGCACATTATATGGCATTTGTTACTACATTTATTATTGTATTAAAAAAAAAAGATAAGAATTTCTAGTGAAGTAACCGAAAGTAAAAGTAAGAAAGTGAAAAATAGCAGACTAGATCTAATTTTTTCTAATTCAAGTTTGTGTAGAAAGATATTTTCAATCAAATGGCCAGTTTCGGAGTCACTTGAAAAAGTGCAAACATTTCGGTTTTTTTTTAAGTCGCATATTATACATCATATCCAAATTCCATCCGTAAGTTTTTAACATTTAAATGAAATATTACGTTTCGCTACTTTAATTAAAATTTTGAAATATATACAACGGCTTTCAAGCAACTGACTGATGTTGTTTGTTCAGATGACAGTTATCCACAATTAAAAATTTGTTATTGGTTGTAACTCCTTTTGTTGAATGAAACCTTTGCTGGCTCCTTGCCTATGGTTATTCTATTAATAGCAACAACAAGTAAATAACAGTATGGCTGTGTGTATATATTAAAAAAGTTATATAATTCCAGTTAATTCTTAACATATGCTTCAAAGCACTATGTTCTCATATTGCTTACTACGCGATTAGTATTTAATTTTCTTTTTTTTTTCGTTTTAATATAACAATTAGTATGACCAGTATTGAAAATATAAAATAAGAATAACACTTACCTGCCGCTGGAATAGCTTTACATCGAAACTTATGACGTCACTGATTGGTTCACCCTGGTCGGTGACGTAATAGACTAGGAGATGACTTACTGGTGCCATCACAGCCTCCACGGTAAATCTACAATAGAACACATACTAATTATAAGAAATTAATCACAAATCGTTAAAACAGTTATATAACTATTTTTTTTTTTGTTATTTCTTATCTCGAGCTTTTAGGCTATACAGAGTTTTTGCAGCCTGGGGGTGAGGGCGGGGGATTAATCCTAGAGTTAAAAAAAAACAGTAGAACCGGGACGCGAACTCGTAGATATCTTATTATCCATAATTCGGTTATCAGGTTCATACTCGTATATAGCATAGGCGAATAAAAAAATTTATTTTCCTCTTTAAATTTATTAATGGAAAAATTAATTTTCTAGTTCCTGTCCATCTTCTTCATCCTCTTCTTTTTGCCAGAATTTTTCATTCAACTAACTATGCCTTAGATCGGATCAACAATTCTAACGATCAGATTCATATATAATTCCTAATGCTTTCCGAAAACGATAGTTTTAATTTTTATATTAAAATGTCGAAGGATCGATATCGATAGTCAATAATATCTAAGTAGTTGCTATCGATGGTAAAACATCGAATTTGGAAAGAAAAATATCGATGTTTCTATAATCCGAAAAGAACTAAAATTTACCTTGAAAACGGTGCAGGACATTAAAATATAGGGCCTTTAAGGTCATTAAGACCGTTACCAGGTCTTAATGCTCGCCTCGAAATCCTAAAAATCATATTTGCTTTCTCTCAATCCGCACAACTTAATTACGTTTGGGCTTTGAAATCTTCTATTTTTTTTCTATGATTCATGATTATTAATAATTTCTCTATAAATCACCTGAGATAAGAAGAAGGAATATATGGAGGGATGAGTTAGGATAATAGGAAATACGGATAGTGTTCATGAAATAACTTCATACACCGGTAATAATAACACTTCCTCCAAATTCTATTAAATATGTAGAGCATGAAAGAGTGCAATGGAGAAATAGTAGAATAACTACTTTCTCATAATGAAGGAGTAATTGTTGAATAGTTTCGGAACAGGAAGATGTTGCTATGGTAATATAAATAATATAATTACGCAGGAGCATTCGCGTTTAATGTCATTATTAAATTTTATTGCTTTTAATATCTGTTGGCATTTACTACATTATTAAGTTATAACACACATTATTACCGCCTGCCCTAAAGTAATACTCGTAGGAAATGAAGTACATTCCCCATCGCAAGGGTAATATTCATTGGCCCCTTATAGAGGACTCTACTTGCCGAGTGATGAGGCGTTCTGGACCTGAAGAGTGTCGATTCATTAGCCTCGTTGGAGCCCTCTTGTTCCAGCTCTCCAGCCTCGATATGACCACTTCCAGCTCAAGCTCCAGGCGCGCCATGGGCTTTAATTTAGCTCCTCTAGGCCGTCAATATTTGTTGAGCAATTAAGAGTCTCATTATGTCTATTTTTCACTTGTTGAGAAAATAGTAATTAACTTGGAGGGATAATTTCTGTAGCTAATTAAATAATTATATTATGGATGGGTTATTAATTTCATTTTTTTATTATTGAAAATTACGACTGTATTAAATGATAAATACAATTAAATGTGAAACAAGTAACATCACATATATAACATGAAGAGAAATTACCCATTAGTAACACTCCAATTATATTTGTATATTAGTGCTCGGTCCCGATCCCATCTTCTTTTCAGACGCCTCGAAGGCTTATCAAGGATAGAAGAGAAAGCAAGGTTGGAAAAAAGAGGGTTCGGATAGTTCCAAAGTTTATTATGAAAGGATAGTTATCTGGAATGAGGTAAATCAGAAACATATGGTACATTAAGGTCGTTATGGATGATTTTATTTGTGGCAAAGCAGGGAGCATTAAGGATTTTAGATTGTAATAATAGGATACGAGAGAATTTGATGGATTAGTAGAGGCCCAAAGGTCGATCCCGTAAGTTCAAATATACCTTATAGTAATATATGTGAGTCTTTTGTAAATAGTTGGAAGTTTATATCGTTTGTTTAGTATGTGCTGCAATAGTCGAACACGTCGGGCGACTTCCAGTCGTTTCAGTCTGGTATAATGGTTCTATGTGAGTCGTTTGTCCAGATGGGTGGAGTCCTGGGTATCGGGTTTATTGATGGTACTGTAGGACAGGAAGTCATGGGTTTACGAAGAAGAGTATAGGTAATTTGATGGGATTTATTGGAATTGATTTTAATCCTCCAGTTTTGACACCATTTTTCATTACTTGTGATGTGTGATTGAAGAATTTGGGATGCAATAGGTGGATCGTTATTAACTGATAGGATTAATGATATTATTAAATTAATTATATAATTAAATATTATTTTAAATGAATTAATTTCATTGCCGGTCAGTGGAAGTTGAAGAAAGGAGCAGCAAAAATAAGTTCGCCCCTCCTTGAAAATATCCCAGTTCCGGTGAAATGGAAGATGAATTTCAAATCTACACATCTTGTGATTTTTCTAACAATAGGAGATGGAATTGTGGCAACTAATAATAATTTATACTACATAACTTTTTTGTATAAAGGTTTAAATATATTAAGGAAACTAGAATCCTAATTTTAATTTTCTTATTTTCACGTTATTTTATTTTATTATTTATTGTATATACTTTTGATTATTATTTTGCTTCTATTTATTTTACATTTTTTGTACATATAGTGTGAATGCTGTCCTATCTCACTATAGCCAATGTCCAAGAGACAGATTGTTGTAAAACTCAATAAATAAATTTGAAATATATATATATATATATATTTACTATAGGTGACGACTTCGCCAATGCGCCCTTCTTACGTATGGCTCTGATTTCATATCAGAAATTTCGATGGTATGTCATATCAATTGTCTTATTCAAGCCTTTATTTTTATAGATAATTATTAAATTAATATGTCTGATAGATTGTGACCTTCTGCACTACGTTTTATTTCTTAATGAGATGGTACTTATTTTTTCTCTTGAATAAATTGTCTCATTAAGGAGTCCCTTTTTAGGGAAGGGTAGAGAGGACTGGAGGACTATCTAGAGCAGTTGATAAAGAAGGGAGGCCTGGAACTGGAGCTGGAAGAAGACAAATAGGAAGGGCCGAGGACAGACACAGAGGCTGATATAAAGTTAATCTGGCCCTATATCAACTCGGGGCTCCTTTAATTAGTGAGTCCCGCTCAGAGTTTTGAGTTTTGTTCCTCGCTGTGTAATTAGCCCGAGGTGCGATTAGATTTATCGCCCAACTTTAAACTCACTCTCGCCTCAGCTCCTAGCTCGAAAAATATATCTCCGGTCGAGGGCGAGGGAGGGGAGGGGGATGGAGCAAAAAGGAGGGGGTCGTAGGCGGAGGGGAAAGAACTTTTTTAAACGAGGGGCCCTGACGAGAGGCTCGGTAAACAGAGCCGTCTCCTCGGATGGCAGTTCATAATCTGCCCTGGGCCAGATTTTTGGGGAATTTTTTACTACCTTCATCACAATCATGCTGTGCCAACATGTCCCGGTTGAGCCTTAAAATTAATGATGTAATTAGAATGTCTTATTTAAAAATTCTTTTTTAGGGTTTCCTTTCCATTTAGAAGCAGAGATACGTATAGCTAAAAATATATTTAAATATAAAAGGGGAATCTTCATACAAGACTGAAACGACAAGAAACTGTTCGAGGTTTTCGACTACTCCAGTACTTACTAGACAAACGATCTAAACTTTCTATATTTGCAAAATACTCAAATACATGACTATAATAAGGCCAATCTGGACTTACGGAATTGAGCTTTGGGGCTCCTCCTAACCATCGAATTCCTCTCATATCCAATCCTTACAATTCAAAATCCTTCATAAAATCCTCAATGCTCCTTACTTTGTCACAAATAAAATCATTTATAACCACCTTAGCGTACCATATGTTTCCGATTTAGCCCAATCCTTCCATAACAAACTTCATAACCATCCGAACTCTCTCGTTTCAAACCTTGCTTCCTCTTCGATACCTGGTAACCCTCTAAGGCGTCTGAAAATAAGATGGCCTCGTGATCTACTTATGTAAATATATTATTAGAGTGCTACCAATGGGTAGATTTTCAACAAAAGTTTTCATGTGATTGTATTATTACCGTGTGTACATGTATGTATTTTTAAATTTATACAGTTGAACATCTCATGAATAAATAAAATTAAAAAAATATATAAAAGGAAAAATCCAAACCATAAATTTTTGAGTCTCTAACATTAAGTTGTCAGAGTTCTGCTTTTGCTACCACCGTTGGGAGGAGAGGGGAGGAAATGCTATATAAGTATACATATAAGGAAAGGCTATATAAGTGTTATTTTCATTAGCTCAAGTTTCTTTTTTTGGTTATATTAAACATCTGATTGAAAGGAATGAGAGAAAAGTAAAAATTGGGTATGAAAAAAAAAAAAAAAAAAAAAGAATGTAATAATTACATTGAATAAAATAAAGAATAAATTAGCAAATATGAGGGATGGATTTCTCTTCTTATACCCTAAAGAGAGAAACGTTACAACTGTAACACCGGATTAGTAAATTTACCACATGTCTCTAGAAAAATGAATTAAAAAATAATATTTTGGATTCATTATGCTGTGATTTCAGTTGGAATAAGATGTCTGAGTTTGATAAGCAAGCAGAGAACCTAGTCCAATTATGAATAAAATAACTAAAGCAACTATTCAGTGAAGTAAATAGAACTGGAAAAAGGGGAACTAAGAAATATAAAGACTACATTCTATGATAGAACAAGTTTCTTTAATTAATGAAATATTTCAAAGTAGGAAAAATTTATTACAAAATTATAATAAATTACAACGATCCTTAAACGCTCCTCAGGCGATTATAATATAGACATATTATACAGAAAAAAACATAAAAACTGTGAAGAAAAGGAAATAAACATAGTATCGATTAATGGTGATACGTAGGATATAGAGATCAAAAGTTTTCTATATCCCCTACAAAAAGAAAAAAAAGTCATCCTGGTGAGACCATTTTTAATACAGTTAGATCCGAGAAATTTATAACTTTGAGCTGATTATTATTATCATTTGAGTACTCTTAATTCTTTAATTTTTTCTCGCTAATTATATTAAATTAATCAGTACAACATTATATTACAATCTGTGTTCCCTGACCACGCTATGCGAATTATTTGCACGGGTCAACTAATAATATAATTATTATTAAGGTTTATTAAACTTTTTGCAAGTTATTTTAAGAGAAAGTTTTAAATATTGGTAGAACTGTCCCCCTCCGTTGAATATTGGGAAAGAGGGCAGAAAGTGCATTTCTACTGATTAATTTTAATTAACATTATTCTGTATTTCGAAAACAATTATGATGAAGTAAAAAAAAATATATATATATATATATATATATATATATATATGTGTGTGTGTGTGTGTGTGTAGGCATTCACTGAAAGCTCCTAGCCAATGCTATAATTTGTAAAATCTCTTTCTATTTTATTTATGTTCTATATTGTTTTTTTTAATTTATTTAATAATTTCATATTTTAGCGTTGGATTCATCAAATGTATATTGTTGTTTAGGTTGTTACATGTCTAGGTTTAAAAGGAAGGATGTCCCCTTTTACTTAATTAGTAATTCGAATACGGCGCTGCTGGGTATACACTACCCGCGTTACCTAACTGCTGTGCTGCTATGCTGTTTTAGGAGCTTGAAACCATGGATCAGGTGCCTTGTTTCTGAAGGAAGAACAGCAATATGTTAAAATAAATCGAAGCTTGAGCATCATGAATGAAAACATGTTTATCAACATAAATAAGATACAAAATATACCATGCATATTATATCCTACAACACCTTTTGACAAAGGAGGATTCTGTCTATCGATGTCTGTGTCTTATTCTCACAAAATATATTACATTCTATATCCTAAATAGATACCATATGAATCACTTGTTAATCAAGTAATTTTTTCATTAATTATTGGATTGGAATTTTTATATTGTATTTGACATTATCACGAACATTATCGAATTTTTGGGAATATACTGTATACGGTGCCCATTTATTTTTATAGATTGCATGCATATATGGGTTGCAATAAGAGCTTGCATTCGATTTTATAAAGAAATAGAAATAAGCTTTAATTCATTTTTAATTTGTTCTCGCAATTATGGCAGTTTCGACACTGACTTGGTTTTCGCTATTTTCCACTATTTTTCCCATTTTCGGAATTTTTTCGGTTTTTGCCACTTTCCCCGTTATCTCGATTTAGCTTATTCCGCTATTTTCTCCATTACAAAATATATGAAGAAGTATAGCATGAAGAAAATTAAGAAAGATTTAGAAGTCTTTTAAATTACTGAATTTATTCTTATTTTCTATAATG